TCGGCTGCGAACCTTTCCAGGGAGCACTGAAGATTAGTTTCAGAAGATGATAATAAAGCAAGGTCGTCTGCAAGCAGCAACTTTCTCGACTTCACATTTCCTAGTTCCTGACTATTCTATCGATGTACAATACATACAGGAGACGGGACTTGGCGGAGCATTGGAGGAGACCAGTGGCAACGTTGAAAGGCTTCGACTCAACGCCATTAACTCCGTCGTAGCATCTGCTATAAGAATACAGTGATAGGATGGCCCTTAGCAGCTGGACACCTATACCTGATAGGATGGCCCTCAGCAGCTGGACACCTATACCGTATGCTCGAAGGCATGACCACAGACTTGCGTGGGATCCGGTCAGAGGATTTTTTTAGGTCAACAAAACGCATGTACACCGAACCGCATCTACGATTTCTTAACAATCTGGCGCAGGGCAAATATATGTTTAGAGGTGCTTCAACCGGGCCCGGAAGCCACACTGCTCTTCTTGTATTTTGAGGTCATTTCTTCCGCGGCACTTCCTTTGCAGCACCTTTATGTTGACTTTAAATTGGAGGCACAATAACGTAACTGGAGCATTCCTTGTGGCCTCCCTTCTTGAACACGGGTACAATAACTCCCGTTCTCCAGTCCGCTGGTGTCTTTCCCGCAGTCATCGCAGTTTGACAGACACGTGTAAGCCAGCACATGCCTTGTTCGCCTAATGCCTTCAGCATTTCAGGGCGGATTTCATCAATTACAGCAGCCTTTCCATTTTTCAAGCTTTTTACAGCTTGTGTCAGTTCATCTATTGAAAGAGTAACATCCGTTCCATGCTGCTGTAGAGGCGAGTTCCAGCGGCTAAGCGGAGTTAAGGAGTTCTTCAAAGTACTCCCTCCATCACCGAAGAATATCATCATCCTTGGTATGAGGGTGTCCAGACCTATCCTTCAAGACTCTCAGACTGCCCTTCCTTTCACCTCGGAACCGGCGGATGTTCTATCAGAATACTTTGTTTGCCGTGTAAAAATTCGACTCCAGTACCTAACGGAACTTCTCCCAGGAATCAGCTTTGTCTTTAGCCACTGCTTTCGCTGCAGTCTTGCGTGCCTCGACATATCGTACGCGAGTTGA